CTCAGCCCTGGCTGGAGTGGGGTAGGAACACCTGGGACAGTGGCAGAGCAGGAAGATCTCCCTGATCCCTTCCTGTGCCCAGAAGAGTAAGTGGAGATGGTAAGGGAGGATGGGAGGGGACGGGACATGCTGTGAAAATAGACAGGAAGAGAGGGGTGCCAAGAGCAGGGGATGGCAGAGATGCTTATTTGATTCAAAGAACTTAGTGTTGGATACCTTGAAGCTGCTATCACTTCCCAGCCGAAAGGGTGCGTTTTTTGTATGCATTACAATATGGATCATTCAAAATGCATCCACTTTGAAATTTGAAGCTGTTTTATGGTCTGGAAAAGCTGATTTATTTAAAACACAGGGAACCAAAAAATACTGACTTTGAAATAGTGTAAATGGGTTTAAAAACATATTAATAGTAATTTTCATGTATCCAAATTACTATGGGTATGTGCAAACTTAGTTCACCCATGTTTATTGACTGATAAGAACAAAGTGAAGAATTATTCCAGTGTCTAATTCAGCAGATTTTATGGGATGGAGCACAAGGAGTTCCTAATTTCATCCAGGGACAATGATCTAGGGCAGGGGTGGGCAATTATTTCAGGCGAAGGGCCGCTTACTGAGATTTGGTAAGCTATCGAGGGCCAAATGACGGGCAGCTAGGGGCAGATAAATGTTAATTTTCTAAATTTTTTAGGGCATCTGCGGACCAGTTGTAATGGCCCAGCGGGCCACATACAGCCTGCTGGCTGCATTTTGCTCACCCCTGATCTAGGGGCCCTTTTTCTTCTGCTTAGATTAATTTAAGTTCAGAACTGTTCAGCCAACTTTCCCCTCCCTGCTTCAATCCTAATAACCCCTCCACAGACCTTAATCCCTGATCCCAAGAAACCACCCTGGATCCCACCAACCCCCGATTATACCCCTGATTATGCATGTAGCTGGGGCTGCTGCCCCCACCTTCCATCCTTGCAGACTCCCCTGCATCCTGGCACTTGCTGTCCTGAGCCCCAGCTGCTCTGCATTTTTCTGCTCCCTTGGGTACTCCCTGGCTTCCAGGTAATGGCTGAATGTGGGGACTGTTTCTTCCATGCCGCCCTGCAGTATAAAGCTCAAGGACATGCCTCCACAGGAAGCACACAACAGGATTGGGGACCTCTTAGCCATAGGAATCCCCAGAGGGTGGGAGTGCCTGAGGGGGAAGGAGCATGCGAAGCAGCCAGGGCTCAGGACAGCAAGTGCCAGGATACAGGGGAGTTTGCAGGGGTGGAAGGTGGGGGCATGCGTGATTGAGGGTTGGTGGGTCCATGGTAGGTTTGGTGGGATCAGGAGGGGGTTGGCGGGACAATTCTACACTTAAATTGATCTAAGCAGAAGAAGAGGATCCCTAGATCATTTTTGCTGACCTGTATTAGGAACTCCTTGTGCTATATCCTATGAAATCAGCTTAATTAGTCATTGGGATAACTTTTCAGTTTGTTCTTGTCAATTAGTAAGGTCTGCATGTGCATGAACTAAGTCTATAGGTACCCATATAATTTGCATACATACAAATTACTATTGGCATGTTATTTCAAACCCATTTATTTCAAAGTTGGTATTTTTTAGTCCAGTGTATTTTAAATTAATCAGGTTTTACTGTAATTGGAAAAAGTGACAGAAATAAACTGGAGGAAGTTCAGCCAGAGCAAGTAAAAACTACACCTAGAAAGGATCATCAAAAGACCAGATATAAAATGGGGAATAACTACTAGCCTGCAGTGCTACATATAAGAACCTGGTTATATTATACCACAAGTTGAATATGAGTCAACAGTGTAATATTGTTGTAAAAAATAATAGACAACTGAGGTGTATTAAGAAAGTTCATATGAAAATCAGGGTAACTGGTTTTGGTATTTTCACTGTAATCAGCACTGGTGTGGCCTCACCTGTAATTGTGTGTTTGATTTGGGCACAGCAGTTCAAGAAAGATGTGGACAAACTGGAAAGCATCTAGAGGAGAACCATAAAAAGAACTAAAAATCTAAAATCAAGACATGAGAAAAGGTTACAGGAATTGGGATTATTTATGCTGGAGAAAACAAGACTAAGGGAGGGGGATTTGATAACAGTCTTCAAATACAAGATGCCAATCTGGAGGCAGGGCTAGAAGTAGTGGGTTTAAATTTCAACAAGGGTGATTTAGGTTAGACATTAGGAAGAATTTCTAATTATGAAGTTGGTCCATGGAACAGACCCCATTGAGAGTTTGTGGAATTTCATTCAGTAGACGTTTTTAAATGCAGGTTAGTTGTTTTGGATAGTTTAGGCAGGGATGTACCTGCCTTTAGCCAGGGGTTCAACTAGATAACCTCTTGAGGTCTCTTCCAGTTCTAATTTTCTTTGCTTCTGTATTAGAGTCTAATTTTTACTTTATTTATAGCATGTTGTGTTAATCAGAAGGTATTTCTGCTTTTTAAATGTGTAGCCTTTTTCCTGAGCCAGTACAGTACAGATTGGCAATATTAAATCCAAATACATGTAATATATATCAGACATTGGGTAGAAATAATCTCAGGGTGTGTCTACATGTGCCTATTAAAATGCAGTAATACGCTCTGGAGCTTATTGCTGCTGGGTGTGCACCTGCACGTGCACTCAGAACACAGCACATTGAGCTAGGCTGCAGAAGCCCCAGCTGGCAGTAGGTTCAGGGCGGGGGGAAGCCTTCCAACCTGCCAGCCCACCAGCCTGGGGCTGCTCCAACCAGGATCAATGTGCTGTGGAGGGGCTGGCTGGGGCATGAGGGTGTTTCATGGTGGGTCTAGTAGGCAGGCAGCTCCCAAACTGATGTGCCCTCATGCCCCAGCCAGCTGTGTCAGCGTATGCACATGTGCTGGTGTGCACAAAAAAACTCCAGAGCAGAATAGTACTTGTATTTACTTGTACTCCCTGCTGCAGAGTTTACTAGTTTCATGAGCCCTAATAGGGGTGCAAGTGTAGATGTTGAGACATTTACTGCACAGTTAATTAAGCAACTGTGTAGTAAACATCTCATATAGATGTGCCCTCAGTGTCTCAACAGCCATTATGCAGGCTTAAGGCAAAGATGGGTCCAGGGTGCTTTGAAGATAATTTGGTCCTGAATGAATAAATACACACTTTCTGAACCAAGTTTTGAATATTTTTCATCATAACCACATATAAAACTTGCAAATTCTTTTGAAATCTACATGCAAGATTCCACAAAACTGTAAGATATTAATATGAACTACTAATCTACAAAGATGACAAATTAAACATTAGGAAATAATTACAGTATAAAATTCAGTGCAAAAACAGTATGTATGTTTGTCTTTAAAAGGGAGAAAAAGGAATTAAAGGACCAAAAGGAAATGTAAGTAAGACAGTCTTTAAACTTGCTCTTTCTACTTTTCACTCTTCTACTTATATTGGTATTAAATGTTAACTCCTTACAAGAAATAACCAACTCAATAAAGCTGACAAAATAAACATACTGCTCAAATAATATTCTTGAAAGGCTTCACTTACCAAGTATGACCAAGAGTAAAATATTTTGTTTTAGGTTGAAGAGAAAGGTGTACTTGGACCAGAAGGAATTGTGGGTAGAAAAGGGTTAGCAGGAAT